TGCGTCTGTTGATGCTTTATTTTTCATTAATTTAGCCACTGTAAAGAATAAATGCCTGGGGCTGTGTTTGTTCTCTTCTAAGAGAGACGAAAAGTAAGTAGATCTAGCAGTTTTTAGGGCTTTTTCTATACAAAATACCTCGTTTTGTTTTCTTCCAGCTGTGCTCCATTCTCTGGGCTGCTCTCTTTAAGGCGCGAGTGTGCTCGTTATACCACAGTGAAATGTAACCTTTGATCCCTCCCTGTCCTTGTTTGTGTGTGTGTGTGTGTCTGTTTCACACTCTTGAAGTTCTACAGTAACCCTTTCATTGCTGTAACACTAAAAACCAGACTGAAAGAGGGTTAAATGCATGTGCCCACTGTGCACTGTTTTCTTGAAGCCACCTGGATGGTGATGCCAACTGGACTTAGGCCCATCAACGCTGCTTGCAGCTATATTTATTATTATTATCAACATTATATAATTAAGTATTATAAGTAATGTTTCTTTGTTAGAACGGATTGAAAAAAACCTAAACCTTTCTGCTGATGTTTTCTGAAATGTTTAAATATGAATTATCTAGTTAAACATGCATTACTTTGCATACATTTCCAGCACAGATGTCTGAATATTGGTTGAAGCCAATAAAAAAAGTTTGTTTCACTTTGCATACATATTAAAAGTTTTTCACAAATGGGATTTTAGATATAAGCAACAACAAAAAAAGTATACATTTCACTGTTTTTAGGAATAAAATGTTATATAAATCAGGTGAATGAAAAATTAAAAGGTGTATGTAATGGCGCTTTTCCACTGCATGGTACGGCTCGGTACGGTTCACTTTTGGGGGGGGTTTCCACTGGGTACAGTACCTGGTAATTTTTTTAGTACCACTTCGGTTGGGGTTCCAAGTGAACCGTACCGTTACCAAAACGTGACGTGTAAACTCTGCTGATCACGGATTGGCCAGAGAGAATCGTCACTACCTGCGTCACTGAACTTGCGACACAAACACAAAAGAACCGCTAGATTTAAATCAGCACAGCCAGCAAAGGATCGAACACAACTGTTTTGAACGAGCGCACCTTTTTTTTAACAACCAAAAAGTTTTGTTGTCTGTTGCGGAAGAACAGACGTTCCTCTCATTGATAGCAGAGGAGCGGATCCAGCTAGAGCTTGATGGGGCGACCCGGAATTAAAAAGTTTTTTTAGGAGTCGTGGCAGTAGAGGCGGCGCAACTATAACACATGTGAATAATCCCGCCCACTCTAAAGCGGTACTGAACTGCAGTGAAAACGCAAACCGTGCCGAGCCGAATCGTGCCGTGCCATACTGAGCCGTGCCGAGCTGAGTCGTACCACGCAGTGGAAAAGCGCCATAAGTGCAGTACCACCGCTCCCTATACACAGAGTACGCAGTTTGTGTAGGGCACCAACTCCCAGGGGGCACCATCCCAGTTGCTCAAAAAAAAAAAAAAAAAAACTTTCGTTCTATATTAATATTAACATACACGTAAATATAAACATGAACATAATATACATAATTATAAAAAATGAATTTTACGGTGAACGCAGTAGACAGACGAAGCACACGTGATGCGCCATTCTCGCAATTAAGCTTTAGCGTTAGTTCTGGCAGGTCACGTGAGTCAAGCTTGCATCAGCTGATTCTCAGCTGATCACATCTACCTATAGGAATACGACACCTATCGCGGCATTCCTATATAAGCTGTATTCAGTATTATTCAGCAGCTTTTCAGCTTGCTTCGGAGCAAATTACCCTCCTCCATCCCCAGCTCCACCTTTTGCCACAGTCAGGACTTAGCTTTCTGATATTCCTTGCTAATCAGACTCCTTTATCTTGAATAAAGTGTTACACTTAAATATCATTGAGTACATTAATGATATCTGCCTTGTTCTGTTCTGTTAACCCTGGGGGGTTATTATTGCTGCTCTCCCTGCTCATTCATGACAGGCTGCATGGATGGGCAGGGAGGTTTTTTGCCCAGAACAGAACCATACCGCCAAACCAAACTTTATGCTAAGTATCTATCATTTTGACGATAGTGGTCCTGACAGAATTAGTGCCCGCACTCGCTCTCACCTCATGTTTGCGATGGACAACTGATGGACAGCTATGCCCGGGAAAAGACATCAGTAGTCCGGCGCAGAGACAAGAAAAATAAAAAAAGCTGATGAAGCCCGTGCATCACTTTTATAATCCTGTGAAACTTATTTGGATGTTGAAGTTAATTACGTGTTTTAATGTCAGTAATGATATCACCGCCGTATCTGCCTTAAAGAGCAGGTCATATGATATTTTAAAGTGTCCTAATATTGTGTTGGAGTCCCCTACATCAGGTTTAAATGCATCTAAGGTCAGAAAACATTGTAATTTTCTCATAATATACATTTAATATTAGAGTAATTTGCCAATGATTTCAAATGATTAGTTCCAAGCAAGTTCGGAGCAAACCCCTCCCTTCCATAAGCCTACTCTGCTCTGATTGGTCAGCTGGCCAAGCCTGCTGTGATTGGCACAGAGAGGATTCCTTGAGCAAGTTAGCAAGCGCTACCATCGACAAAGCACCTTTACATAAAACAATAATATAGTGCTTCAATCTGTTCTTAAAATAATGGCATAAAATACAAAAACACTTATGCAAGCGAATCGTGCCCACAGCTAAAGTTTAGCTGCTAAACTGTGAACACTCATAGACTTTGTTACCATTTCGCGGGCAGGCGGGGATTATGCAAATGTCTTACCCAGTGACTTATACCGGTAACAGGCAAAAGATTCGAAAATATGACGACTCTTTAAGGCGATTCAGAATCGACTCTTATGTTTTGAGAGACAATATCTTTATTTATCATGCACTTTTTTGATTAACAACTTTGCAGATTGTTTTCATTTAAGGATAGCTATGTTATAAACTGCAAAAGAGATATTTTTCAAAAACCCATATGACCTGCTATTTAATATTCTCTCAGAGTTTCCATGTTCCCTTACGAATATAAACCATAATTTTACTACGAATAAACAAAAACATGGTTCTTGTAGCAATGGTAACCACAAATTAACCATAGTTTCGATGCTTCAAATAATAATTTACGAAGAATTCAGAGAATATTTTTGTGGTAATAAAAACAGACCTAAGTGATCAACAATCTTTAAAATGCATTATATAAAAACAATGAGGCAATAATGATTGGTTAATTAATAATAATTGTATGGTTTCATTGAATAACACTGTTAAAATACATAATAAATAAACAATTTATGTACATTACATATTATTGCAAAGGGCACCAAATGGCTGTTTTAACACTTACAGGATAATCAAATCCTTGTTTAATATTGACCAAACATTTAATTCAAATATCCACTTAATCTTAAATTTTTGGCCACCTTTTTGCGATTGAAATGCTAGCCTCTATAATTTCTTCAACAAAAACATGTGGACATCACAACCCTTACAAAAACGAATCTTTGGCTTTATCGAAGTAAAACTGCTTGATTTTCTTTTGTGTCATTTCTGAATGCTTGAGACTATAAAATCAATCAGACAACTGTATTAGTAAAATCATATGCGACTGTCTAGCTACAATTGTAATTTGTAAACAATACAGTTTAGTTATTTACTTTTATATTTTATTAAAGTTCTATTTTGACCCCTATAGTAGGTGTTTTTTTTTTAAATTCCCATAATATTTTGGGGAGGGGGCACAACAATACAATTCTGCTTAGGGCACCCATTTGGTCAGCGTGTAAGTGCTGTGCCAGCGTGTTTGGCCCTGTGTAAGTGCAACTGAAATATAGAGATTCCTGGCTCAGGATTGTATGCGAAACAATCATTTTGAGAAAAAAGCCTTTAAAGATATGTATTGTAATTTAGGCACCTTCCACATGGAGACACATTTAGCTGTATACGCATACATTTTGTATCGTATAGGCGTTTCGTCATTTTGGGTGAGTGAAACCAATATTTTTTTAAAACCGGGTCCCAGAGTGGATAAATCTGAAAATGCCGCCCTTGTGTTTTCGTGTGGACAACGAATCTGTGGCTGCATTGGAAAGCCTAGGCAGCTGACTTGCTGCCTCGCTGCCTTATGAAGCAATGACTTTGCAGGCAGCGTTTTTGCATGAAGGCACCTCATGAAACTGATTTCGGACAGGCTTCTGAGGCAGCATAATGGTTTAATGATCTACAGCAAAATAGAACGAGTTTTGATGATAACTAAATGAATATTTATATATTATTATAATACTGATTTCTCGCTAGAAATAACATCAAAAGTGCAAAAAGTTAGTCCGAAACATACATTTAAACACAAACTGACCACCAAAAACACAACTTTCAGACGCCATCTTTATTTATTTTTTTATCTCAACCATCACGGAAAGTTTTATCTCAACCGTCACGGAATGGAATGCACAGGATTGTGGGATATCAAAGGCAGCGAAGGATACATCTATGCTGCCTTCAAAATTCGATCAGAAGAAGGTACCTCCAGAGACAGGAAGTGAAGCAGAATTTGTATTCAGACGTGCCTTGATGCCTTCCTGCTTTGGAATTCTGCCTCTGAAGGCAGCATTTTAGAGCTTTCGGACACAACCGTTTTCTGAAACAATGACGTCATCAGCCCACGTCTCGCCCCTAGTCAGACCCGCTATGTCACATAACAGCAATAAAAACACTGAAGGATTTTCTTTTTATTAACTAACATTAACACAGATTAATAAATGTATTGTTCCATGTTCATTTGTATACCATTTTTAGTGTATCTCTGTGGCAGAATTACAGCTCCACATACTGGTCTGGCATGTATACTACATAGTTTTGTGTCGGTTTTCGTATGAACCCCTTTGCCCTTCCTGCATTTTGTGTGCTTGGTCAGTGTTTTTAGATATGCTGTGCCACAGCGGATTTGAGGCATTTAATAGTCGAGTTACAAGAAATGGTGTGTGTTGAGGTCATTGTGATGAATGTCCTGACAGCAGTTCTTTGGTTTTGTCCTCAGGCAGGACAGCCACTAACTGCTCTGTGAACAATGGGGATTGTGATCATGAATGTCATGAGAGTGTGGATGGTCTTGGTCGCAGGTGCAGTTGTATTAAAGGATACCAACTACAAGACAATTCTAGAAAATGTATTGCCAAAAGTAAGTTACCTCAACAAGTATAAACAATATATAAACAATATGGTTTGTGAATACTACAAATACACACAGGTGATTTTGTATCCACAGTGCACAAATTAATGCTTAGATATTTGCATTTGTACTCGAGACTGTACTTCTGCATTTGTGAACATTTATAAGACTGTTTTTGTGCAACATTTATTAATAAATGTGGGCTAATTAACAGTCATATAATTAATATTATTAGAAATAAATCATACAAATATTATATATAAATATATCTTCAAATAATTTCTACCATTTAGTAGATGAATTATGATCTATGTGCATCTTTGTCATTTACAGATGAGGCTTCATGTGGCCAGATTCGAATCACAAAGTCATCCTATATTAATAAGCCTTTAGTAGGTTTACAGCCGTGGGTTTTAGGAGGTACAGTTGGCAAAAAGGGAGAGAGTCCCTGGCAGGTATTTTTGATTCATATGTAATATCTGTGTAATCATATGTAATAATGCCAAATGTTTTATCAGAGCTAATTCTGATGTCATATGTTATACCAAATATTCAGCCAAAGCAAATTTTGTGCTCCAGTATATATTTAAAAAATGCACTGTGTGTAATCTGTAGGCTCTTATACTCAATCATTTGGGCAATTTTCATTGTGGTGGAGTTCTGATTGATGAAAACTGGGTTCTCACTGCTGCTCACTGCCTAGAGACAAGTACAAGGTTCAGTGTCAGGCTGGGTATGTAAGACATTTTGGTAAAATTTAAGTATTTCTTCACAGTGCAAGACTTTTTATCCTACCGTATATTTATGTTTTTAGAAGATGCCTTACTAAAGAAATTTGCAAAAAATAAAGAGCATACATGACAAGTACTAGAACACATAGCTGAGAGTGATGTTGTTTAAAGGGGTCACATGATGCTATTTTAAAGATCATTATTTTGTGTAACAGAATATGTTGACATGCTTTAATGTTCAAAAAACACATTATTTTTCAAATACTATGCAGTATTGTAGGTCCGTTTTCAACAAAGCCCTCTCCTTTGACAAGCGCAGTCTGCTCTGATTGGCCAGCTGACCCAGTGCATTGTGATTGGCCGAACACCACAAGCACGCGTCGGAAATGTAACGCCCCTTACCATAATCGCAGCTTCAGCTTTCAAAGTAAATATCAAGACAGTTAATAATGTCGTTAGTTTTACCATCAGTTCAAGCCCGAAAGGGCAACAGAGCCGCATGACAGACACCGTGATGATGCAGTACACAAGCCGCGGTTAAGACAGCTGACGTGCTATGATTTCTGACAGGCAGTTCACTCTCCTGTGATGTGACCAAATAAAGTGCTTTTGCTTTCGCACTGAAACACAGCTTCTCGCTGACATGGCTGCATCAACACGACTGCTGTTCCTGAAACCACTCTTTCTTTCTTTGCGTGCACATTTGGGCGGCATTATGCTAATATTTCCACATAGTGAAGGATTGGGCCAAAATACCAGCAACAGTGTGTGACAACCTTGTGAAGACTTACAGAAAACGTTTGACCTCTGTCATTGCCACCAAAGGGTATATAACAAAGTATTGAGATTAAATTTTGTTATTGACCAAATACTTGTTTTCCACCATAATTTGCAAATAAATTCTTTAAAAATCCTACAATGTGATTTTCTGGATTTTTTTTCTCATTTTGTCTCTCATAGTTGAGGTATACCTATGATGAAAATTACAGGCCTCTCTCATCTTTTTAAGTGGGAGAACTTGCACAATTGGTGGCTGACTAAATACTTTTTTTCCCCACTGTATAAGCCAAATGGGGAAACAAATATTTGAAAACATTTTTTTTTTTACAAATTAGCAGACAGCCTACTCATACTGCAAGGAATATAAACCTAAGGATAATAATTTTATTTAATAAAAATAAAAGCAATTTACAATTAGAAAATGCAAATAAATAAAAAAAACCTGAGCATAATCAATCATTTAAGGCACATATCCTTATTATTATGTTTATTATTATTATTATTATTATAAGGGATTCATAATTTGCAACAAACTTAAACAGTGACATGTCACTTAAGACCTTAGCTATTATTAAGCGCTGAAGGTTGAGAATGTCGTATCAGAAAATGTTGGTATGAAGTTAAACTGTAGGCAGGTTGGATCTGTGGCTCCTGATCTTCAGATCCTGTTCATATCGCTCCAGCTGAGTCCAGAATCCCGGGTTAGGCTCAACTACTGATCGAGCACTTTTTACTACCTGATAGAACAAACAGGAATTACAGAAGAGGTAAACAATGTTAAATTCTGGCACAAAAATCTAGAATGCTGTGGTTCTCCATTATCAATTAGGCTACATTCAGCAATGATAATAATATGAGTGATGAATATTTTGATATCTTGTGGCTGCCTTTATTTTGCGCATTTTATACTATATTATAGTTTGTTTGTTTATTTTTGTACCTTGCTGCCAATATGTCTGCTTTTCCTTATTATAATAAAAACCAATAAAATATCGGCAACAAAGAAAAATATTTGATTAAAGGGATACTCCACCCCAAAATGAAAATTTTGTCATTAATCACTTACCCCTATGTCGTTCCAAACCCATAAAGGTTCGTTCGTCTTCGGAACACAATTTAAGATATTTTGGATGAAAACCGGGAGGCTTATGACGGTCACATTGACTGCCAAATAAATTACTACACTGTCAAGGTCCAGAAACGTATGAAAAGCATCGTCAGAATAGTCCATCTGCCATCAGTGGTTCAATCAGAATTTTCTGAAGCGACGAGAATACTTTTTGTACGCGAAGAAAACAAAAACGCAAGCAGCATATGCTCTTCTGTGTCAACCGCGACACACGGATGTGCTGTTTTCGTTTAAATCAAAGCTTAAATACACGTAGAAAACGTATCCTTGTGTCGCGGCTGACACAGAATAGCGTACGTTACTTGCGTTCAGTGGATATTCTCCAAAATGGCGCTACGGTGATGCGGAGAGACACAAAGGAGATTAATTGTTGAATAAAGTCGTTATTTTTGTTTTCTTCGCGTACAAAAAGTATTCTCGTCGCTTCATAAAATTCAGATTGAACCACTGATGGCAGATGGACTATTCTGACAATGTCTTTCATACTTTTTTGGACCTTGACAGTGTAATTTACTTGGCAGTCAATGTGACAGTCACAAGCCTCCCAATTTTCATCCAAAATATCTTAAATTGTGTTCTGAAGACGAACTAAGCTTTTACGGGTTTGGAACGACATGGGGGTAAGTGATTAATGACACAATTTTCATTTTGGGGTGGAGTATCCCTTTAATGACTGCACACATAAATCAAGGATAAAATACCTTTTAAAAAAACAACAACTTTAAAGTAAAAAAAAAAAACCTTACACAAAAGCTGCATGTGTCCTGACTAGAACTGTTTCATATCAGAATTCAATTTGAAATAAACACTATTCATACCTGGAAGGCATCGGTCAAGGTGAGACCCTGGTGCTTCATTAAATAGGCCACACAGACAGTAGCTGAGCGACTGCGTCCATTCTTACAGTAAACAACAGTGCGGCCACCTTGTTCTGCCTCACTGGCTATGGCATCAGCACAGCGGTCAAAATACTTGTACAGGTCTTCTTGAGGGTCATCATATACAGGTACACGCAAAGTGCTTACCCACATAGAGGGAAAGGGTTGCTGCTTGGAAACATTAATACAAAGAGTGATCGCTTCCTTCTGGATGAGTTCATTGTTACAGGCTGACCGGGCATTACTGATGAGCAGACAGTCTGTAATTGTGCTTAACTGCAGCATCTCTAACTATATGCTCGCATATATGTGACTATATCTTGAAGGAAGATAAGTTTTGAATAATCATAATCACAGGTCCACTGGGTCCTGCATTTCAAATAGCGTAATGTTTCATTTAATATGTAGTAATTCCATTTAAATTCTGTAGGTACTAGTGTTATTACAATAGAGGTAGATCCATACACTAGGTCAGATACTAAAGTGTTATATATACTGCATCAGCAAGGAGAATGGTCAGATGTTTCAACCCGGTCTTAATGCCCTTACACAGACAAGTCTGGTGAGCTGTTGATTAAATAAGAGAGGAGAGAATATTATTTGTTTAGAACAAAAGTAAAATAACAAACGGAACAACACTTTTGTACAGTAACCTGAATGTACAGAAAAGTATTGAACTTGTTTACTGGGCATGCTCCATCACCATGTTTAACAGCACGGATATGCTTATGCTGCGTTCAAGTCCTCCTGGGACGTTCCTACTTACGAGTTGACTGTTCCTACTTACGAGTCGCAATTATGACGTCAGGTGCGTTCAGGTCAGTTTAGTCGGCACAAGATGGCGGTGTACCTTCTTTTAAAGGGGTCATATGACGCTTTTTTAAAGATCATTATTTGGTGTAACAGAATATGTTGACATGCTTTAATGTTCAAAAAACTACATTCTTGTAGGTCCTCTATGCCCCGCCTCTCTCAAACGCTTTGTTTTTTACAAAGTCCCTCCTTCCGACAAGCGCAGTCTGCTCTGATTGGCCAGCTGACCCAGTGCATTGGGATTGGCCGCATACCACAAGCACTCGTCGGAAATGTAACGCCCCTTACCATAATCGCGAGCTTTATCTTTCAAAATAAATGTAAAGACAGAGCCCGAAAGGGGAACAGAGTCACGTGACAGACACAGTGATGAAGCTGGTATGTGTTTGCAGTACACAAGCCACAGTTAAGACAGCTGACTCCAC